ATATTGTTGGAACTTTGGTGGTTGGTAACCGTCAAGTATCTTTAAACCATAAACTCTTGTAGTGTATGGTTTGGTATAAGTGTTGAATGTCTTAGTAGCTCCAACAACTTTGTCTTTGATTGCACCTTCAATGAACTCCTTAAAAGTGTCAACATGAATTGTGCCATCAGCAGAGATTGAAATCTCCTTCATCAAGTATGATTCGAAACATTTTTTTTTCTCAACTTTTGAACATGTTTCAGCTCATCAGGCATCTTCCATTGCTACTTAAGCGTGTTTGGACTATTCTCACTTATGCGCACCAGCATGTCCATTAATTTGGCAATCTTAGCGTCTTGGTTTTGCACATGAATTGTTAGTCCTTCAACAATCTTGGTTAAATTCAAAATTTAATCTTTAATAGCTGTAATGTTGGTCATCATCACAGGCATCACCACAAAATTGGTTGAATCACTTGAGTCATTGAGTCTTGAGTCATGGTCATTCTCGTCACTAGGCAATATGTTAAGATTCTTCTCTTGGTTACCAATAGCATCCTCATTAATTTTTTCTACAAGTGCCTTCGTCTTGCTCCTTGTCATGGGACCAACATCTTGTGCCTCTTTATTTGTAGGAACAACAATGGTTGAATCTTCAAGGCCAACACTTACCTTCTTTGAGTCCATTGGTGAAGTCTTAAAATACAAACTTGTAGGAAAAGAAAATGTGAGAGGTAGAGATCGTCCAACCAAGCTCGCCGAAAATTTGTAAGCATAAATTTCGTTGCATAGAATAAAAGACAAGAAAGCTGATATAAATGTCAAATATATTAAATCAAATAACAAGAGGATTACAATCTTGAAAATTCTTTGAAAATTTTTGAATCGAAGAAATTAATTCTCTAATTCTTCTCTTCGAAAGACTTCAATCGAAAGGCCAAAAAGACTTATTCACGAATCAAGTGAGTGTGACGCCCCGAAAAAAAAGAGTTTGAGAACCCGTAAAAAAACCCTAATCTTTTCCGAGGGTTTTATTTCCTTTAATAGCATGTTTTCTGCATTTCCTGGTTTAGGAAATTTTCTGAGGAATTTTTATGAGTAATTATAGTTTTTAGATGGTTTTTCTAGCCTTGGAGAGTTTTTGGAAAATTAAAAATATATAATGGACGTGGGACCCACTAGTGCGAAAAGTTCGAAAAAATTCGGCCAATAAGGTTAAGTTTCGGATACTGTGTAAAATTTATCGGGTGTTAAGAGATAAGTCGAGAGTGAGATTTGATTGATGTGAGAGGAAAGAGAAAGATAAGATTGCATTTATGAAGGTGACAAGTGTCACCACTACATTGGTTTTGGCTTAAGAGTTACTATTCACCTTTTTGACTTTTGACCCATTTGATAAATATCTTCAAAAATTGCCCAAAAATCACCATTTTTCACCTCTTGTTGGCCGGCCCTCTTAGCTCAAGAAGGAAGAAAGCTTCTTCAATTTTCAAGCTCCCAATTAGCTCAAATCAACCAAAACAATTGCCTAAATTAGATTCTACTCCATAAAATCCTTTCATTTGGTACTAGTGAGTGTTGTGGTGAAGTTTGTTTGAAGAACTAAGGTGTCCAACATCTTCCTTTCTCTTGTTTCCTAGGTAAGTGATGGTTGAACATCCTACTACACCTAATGATGCTTAAGTGATGCTTAGTAGTAGCTAAAGTGATGGATTATGTGATTATTTCTTGATTTGAAGTGATTTGGTGAAGTTTTTATATTTTTGAGGAATTTTCTGGTTTAATATGAATGAGATGTTGTGGTCATCTATGATGGTTGATAATGAGGGGGAATGACTCTAGTAGGTGTGAATTAGTGATAATTGCAACCAATTTTGGGTTTGGAATGAATTGAGAAATGATAGGGTTTCAAAACCCCCTTTTCTGTCCGGTTTTGTATCTCAGGCTTAGAGGCCGAATTGGGCTTTGCTCAAAACATGAAAGTTGTAGGTATTGATGTGGTTGAGGTGCCTGTAAAATTTCAGGTCATTTGGACCTAGTGTAGAGTGAGATATGTCGATTTTACTGTTGCTGTTCTGGGTTGATCAGAATGCGAAAACTGCACTAGTAATTGGCCATTTTGACTGGAATTGCTTTGGATTTGGATGTTAGTGTCTTCTGATGAAATGTAGCCGGATGTCTTGGCTACCATATGCCTTTGGAATCAATGCATTTGGACTTGTATGGACCGAGTTGGACTCATTACAGCATTGTGTGATTTGTGAACCTATTTTAGTGGTTCTGATTTGGTATTTTTGGCATATTTGACCTAGTTTTGCTAGGAACTGGACTGAGTGACCTTCTACATTGTTGTAGCCCTGGTTCTTAGCTTCGAAACGGTGGGTCTTACACCCCCATCCGATAATCATAGTGAAATTGACACCATTACCGCAAAATGACGTCAAAACTATTTTTCTGGTTTTGAGCTTAACCTTCATTTCCGGACTTTTTCCCTAGCTTGACTTGTCTTTGTACTACTTGGAGCTTGCTGAATGGATATTAGATGAACTTATTTGTGTGACTTTGGGACTGGCTGAAGTAATAATGAAGCCATGATGGCTGGAAAAGTTAGCAAATGTAGGGGAAGTGCTGTCCGAACTTTGAAGGGACTTGTTTGCATTGGGTTTGTGATCTAAGGCTTGGATTTGAGCAAGGCAATGTTATATGATGGATGGTTTCTGAGCCGTGGAGGTGAGTGACCCTAAACTGTTTCCAAAGTTACTTATGAACCGTTTCTTGCACTATTTACTTGTTTGCATATCATGAGTGCTTGCATGTGGCCCATGACATGTTTTGGCTTAAATGAGTGCTTGGAATTCGTGTGCTGAACACCAACGTCTCCACCTCTGTGTACTGTTCATCTGGAGCAAATGGCTCCCCACTGACTGTTTACTGTTAAATGTTTGTTTGGAGTGTTGGGTGTTTAAGTACAACGATTTCGCTGGCTCACGAGAGCAATAAGTGTACATTTGATCTTGAAATCATGACATCACTGAAATGAACGACTGTGAAACTGAATTGATTACTGATTTTAATGGTTACTCGCTGAGCTTCTAGCTCACCCCAAAAATGTTTTATTTCTCCCCCCACAGGGCTCAAGGCGAAGGAAAGTTTGGAGTGCTTATTCACGTGACTGGATGGCTTATATCGTGTACAGTTTAAGTTTGGATCTATTTTATGTATGAGTTGGTCTTGTGTAAATATGTGAAATTGATATGGATGTAAGTATACGTTCCACGATTGGAATCAGTTTCCGCTGCATTTGTAATATGTAATCATTGGAGGATTTGATGTAATTTTGAGATTTATATTGTAATTGGGTTGAGAACTGTAGTCCCGGCGAGAGCTGGGCAGGCGGTCCGCCGAACCCTCTGGTTCGCCTTAGGGGGAGGTGGGGCCGTCACAGTGAGCATTTCCTACAATTTGATCGTAGAAAATAGATGAGTTAATGATGGCGTTGAATACTTGAATCTTTAAGTTTTCAACACGAACGAAAGGAGGACTTGTTTAACTTGATTTGGATTTGGATTTGAGGGGAAAATGGTTCTTAAGAAATTTTGACATAGTTTCTCCAGAATTAGGAATTTCAATGTATCCTTGCTCTGAAGGAAGACCTCTATTTATAGTCAAAATATATAGGATAGATCTTCAAGAAAAACCTCTAGAACCCTTTTGCGTTTGGGTGACTTGTAACTTAAGAAATCAATTTAACTTGGGCATTTATGATTGGCTGGTCCAAATAGTTTACTGTGAATAAATCAATTAATCGACTTCAATTTAAATGGACATTACAAATTTGATTTGATTTAATAGCCCATACAATACTGGCTCAATTCATCAGTCCAAAACATAATACACTTCTTTAATTTAATCAAGATTAATTTAATTTTGATTAAATAAATTTTCTTTGTCTACAGGAAGATAGGAGCCATATGATTTTTACATGTTAGTTGTATCTTCTACAACTTGATTTAACAAGTCATTTTTTTACGGCAAATAATAATTGAAGTAACAATAGACTCATTGTACAACTTGGTTTACTATAATACGACCAATAAATATCACGGCTATAAGCTATCTTTCTTATAGTAAATAATGCTTGACGTCACAATAAACACAAATCCGCAGTTAGTTTAGTATAAATGTTACTACCATGAGCTATTGTTGCCTTGTAGCACCATTCTAAGGGTGGAAAATCACATTACTGTTATGTAGAGCGACGTTCTGTAATACCATAGGAGAAAATTGTCACTCTACCAGAACTGTAAATATTTCCTACATAGTAGTATTGTAGCCTTGTAGCATCCATTTTCTATATTTTTTTGGCTCTTCCTGCCAAATTAAACTGATTGACTTTCTTCTTTCCTCTTTCTTTCTTTTGCCTGTGTTGGTTTGATTAAACTACGGGTACCGATCAATTTTTAAGAGTTCAAACTCCTTGAATGTCATTCTTTAGTTCACGTGCTATTTCGTATTTAGTTCCTCAGATGACAATTGTTTGGGCAAAGACAATTTACTGGACAAAAGGCTCTCCCATTCCCAGGAGAATGGGCTGATAAGATGATGAACAACATATGGAAAAAAGAAATGTAAGCATATCAAGTGACTTGATTTCCCTTAAATTTTGTTTCAACTTCTGTTTTCATTTTTCGTTATAACTTTTGTTGAACGAATACATTTTAGTTTTACAAAAACACCAAAGGTTTAGTTAACCATTGCACTTTAATTATGGATGGAAGTTTGTTGGCAAATGAGATATCTGAAGGATCATAAAGATGCAAAACTTTGCCTTATTAAGATGGATACTTTTCCGACTTTCCACAGCATGAGAGACACAAGAAAAGAAGATTGATTAATTTATGTAGAAATCAAAACAATGATAGAAATTTTTTTTTTTTTTTTTTATAATTTTCGAATAGAGATGAAGAATAGTCATTAATGTCTTCCACATGCATCAGAAAGTATCCTGCTCATGATCAATGCTTTTCAACAGAAGAGACCCTTCAGATGAAGGTCATATGCCATTAACAAGCTAAACCATAGTGATTGCCAATCAAAGCGGAAGCTGTTCTGATGTTTCAGCAAAATCTCTAGTGTTCATAGACATAAAACACAGACAATGGGGCAGGAAAAAGTAAATGCTCAGAAACACAATTACACCGAGATCAGCCTCTTCACCGACTGCTGGTCGACGAGGACTTACCAAGTATATCTGGCTAGCACACCATAATGAGTACAGGACTGCTATTGTCAAGATTAATCTTGCAGACAGATTAGACCTGGTTTTTAGAGATCTCGAGGACTTCACTCTGCAAGATTAATGAAGATTTCACTAACTTCCTGCAACCGAATAGAGCTAAAAATAATTCAGTAGTAGCTCTAGGGCTTACCTGTTAATATATATAAAACCTCCAATCAAGCAAATACAAAGGAAGCTAATCACAACAACTGCATCTGGGGTGATTGGTGCTCTGCCTTTCCACCAACCTGTGCTCAGTATCCAAGTATACATTTTAGACTGCCCGTTTTCCTATTTATAGAGAAGCAACAAAGACAAAAAAGGTTATGGATTATTCCATTATCAAAATGTACAAAAGAATGGGATAAGTAGTACTAAAGAAGACGAACTTGCATGATGAACAATGAAAAACAAAAGATGCAAGACTTAAGGAAAGTTTATGGCCACATCTACGAATTGAAATTCAACCACCACCTGAATCTGATGTGGTAATGACTCTCAAATCTAGCCTATTTCGTCTGCTAATCAGTCTCCTAATCTAACCTGTCAGGGATCCTAATAAAATAACAAATCTTTCAAACCAATGGGATTCTTCTAAATTAGATACAGTAAGCAAAGAAAAAATCTGAATACTGATCAATAATGCACAGTCCAATCTGAATTTCTTTGCCATTTCACTTGTTGGATTTCCGAAAGGTTGAGGTTGCAATACAGATGAGGAATCTGAGTTACAATATACACTAACACTTTAAGGTGACTAGAAGCAAATAGGGATAAATTACTCAGTGAATAAATATATGATTTAACACGTTTACACTCCAAAACCAAAGCATGCCCACTAGCAAAAACATTTGTTTAGCTTTAGGATCCAATTGAGCTGTACAAGGCAAAACATTAGTTAAAACAAATTAGAAGCTTGGTCACTGATTCTGCTAATATACACATGAAACAAAAGGAGTCTCTACAAAGAATTTGCTGATATCAAAGCCAGATGCTAGACAAATCAAAATCTGCTGAATAATTGACAACAATAGATAACTATGTGCAAAAGAAGATCTAAGTTCAAAATCCTAACTGAAGCTCCAGAGTTGAGCAAAATTCCATACTTCAGATTAAAATCAAAATTCTAAAAGTTTTAACAACAGTATTCATATTTCATTTTGCAATTTCTATTTCTACAAACTGGTGAATTCAATAATTGTAAAGGATCCATGATGCAATTCAATTGTAAAGAATAGTGATAACTTTCTACCCTGTAGCTTGATGAACTATTCCATTCAACATAAAATTTAGATTAGAGATAAAAAGACAATATTCTCCAAACAGGATATGCAAAGTGGACATTTTCTTCAATCCAAAAATAAGATGTCTTTCTCAAGAGAAATTTGTGTTGTAGAAAGGGCTTATACCACTACTGCATGCACTCTTGAATGGATATATACAGAAATCAATATGCAAAGAGGCATTGACAATTAGCAGTGCCATCTAATAATCCAACCTTTTCTCCTTGTACAAAGTCCATGAACAAAGTCCTTATTGATCTTACAGTAACTTAAGGGAGTTTTTCTTTTCCCCCTGAGGGGGAAAGCAACGCTAGGGGGGTAACGTTCCGATCTTGTAGCTATGATCTTATTGTTCTTCTTGTTCTTGTAAGCTACTCTTCTGCTTATACTTTCTATAGTATTCCTTCTGGTCTTTATAGAGCTCTAAGAGTTCTTGTGTAGTTCTTATTTAGACCTTCTTTAAGTATGCTAATATGGGGCTCCTGCCCTTACTGAAAGGATCTGCTGCAAGGATGAGGTACACATATCTTAGAGTGCACGGCTAGAAAATTCTAATGAGTCATCTAGGTGTATTAAATAAAATTCCCATGGCTCCAGAAGGAAAACGATGCAGCAAGCCATCCACTGTTAAAGGTTTCCACGCAGTCATATCTAGATAACCAGATCACAGATTGATTAGCAAAAGTTTACTGTACTACCCAGACAAACACACATACCTTTTTTAGCTGGTTTTACAGTCCCAGGTGGTTATGATAACAGGAGAAGGGTGAAGGCATGGCAGTTCTACCCAAAAGGGCATCTTTTACTGCATTGGCTGTTTCAGATTCGTTAGCACTGATGTTTTCAATTACTGCAGTGCTTCTACTGTTTATAATCAGAGACAAAGCCTTTCTTTTCTTGTTCAGTTAATTTCATGAGAAAAATGAAGCCATCTCCTAGACTGTCAGCAAAGCCATGAATATTGCCTAAAAAATAATGCCAGTCTATTCATATATTGTAGACACGTAAACTTCAAAATCTAACAAATTAATAAGTGGAAGAATATATTGAACTTACAAAGATATGAAAATAATAACTTCAAGATATGCAAGTCAACTTACGTAAGGCAACTTCTATGAACATTCAGATAAATTTTTTTTTTTTTTACAGTAAGGCTGTTAAATTCCCCTGCTGCTACTTTAACTTGCTTTACTAGTCCGAATTATACAGGATGGATCATTCAAAAAATTGATCAGTACAATCAAATTAAACAATTTTTGGAGGAAAAAAGTAAGAAATAATAGTAACAATTTGTTCCTCTCCACCCTTTAATTATATTCCCTTTTCTTTTCATCAATGTTTTTGTGATTTTAAGCAAAACCTTCAAGTTTTATTTTTTCTTGAAATCTGCAAAAACAGAAATGTCAAAAGGGTTCATTACTTCACACTAGCAATAAACATATGGGGCCGTTTTAAACATATTTTTCCTCTTTTATAGGTATGCCACAGATATGGAGCCATCCTCGCAAGAAAATTCTGTTTTGGTCCATCATTATCACCTAGATTAACCTTGAAGCATGACGAGCATGTCCCTCTCTTGCAAAATGGACAAAATTATATGTCATGAAATGAAAGAAATAAAAGATACACCACACAGCATTTGATAGAGTGAGTGAAAAAAGAAGAAGAAGAAGAAGAAGAAAGATAGACCACCCAAGATATTCACCAGCCAATACAAATATACTTCACTTAAAATTACCTCAAACAAGTGGTCTAAGAAAAAATGGGACAAAGAACCTGCTGACACCAAGTAGAAGCACTGCCATCTTGTAAGAGGTACCTGTGCACCAAAAAAACAGGACAATGAAGTTAGATATCGGCTTAAGAAATGATCTTCTAATGGCAAAGAAATGTAACATAAAGATCTATACACTAAGAATCAAACCTTAGGCAAGAATCAAGATACCAATTTAATACTAGAAAAGAAAATGCCAAAGTAATTAGTACCACGTTGCAAATGATATAATTAGGTTTAGCTGTACAAATATGGAGCTAAATTTTGTACTTCTCATAACAAGCAGCAGGAAACAGTTTTCGCTTTTAACTCCTCATGTACTCGTTCAGACCAACTCGCTATGGAAGGTCTGAAGTAAATAGCATTGATAGCTTTGTAATATTGATTCATAAATTTTTGTTGGATATTCAGTTTATAGCAACAGGGCACTAATTAAAAATGTCATATTGGTCTCAATGCTTAATTTCTTACGGAAAATCAAACTTTATTTCGCTAACTTCAAATTATGGCAAATGCTTACAATGAACAATGATATATGATGTGCTACCACAGCAGCACAATCCATTCAAGTACTATTTTGATTAAAATGGTTACTCTGTTCTCCTTTCAGACCTTTCTGAGTTTGATCTTTATGCTTTCCAATAAAGTACAGCCAATTTACTCTCCCATATTTCCTTCATAAGCAAGATTGTGCGCTGAGTCTGACACAATTTAACTATATTGGATGTCAGTTAGTTAGATTGCCCGTTATGCAAATATTCTGAATCTCTTTCTCACGAAGCATTTCTGAAGCAAGACACAGCCAGCAGACCTGTTTGATCCTAAAAATTCATAGATCCATTGCATGCAGTCTTACAAAATCATTACATTGCTTGTATGTCCATTTGGCAGGTAGTCACATCACAGAAAAAGGGTACTGAAAAACAGGCAATTCTTGGAAAACGTTACCAATTCAAAGCCAAAATTTGCATAGCACTTATTTCAACTCATCAGCTCATCATTATGGCCCCTGATCACATTTTTTCAACATAGTAATGGTTTCGCTAAAATTCGAAGCTTCTTTGTGCTCCCACAACACCTAAACTTTTCCACTTTTTCACCAAAAACTTAGGAGCCGTATGGTTCACCTTCGGGAATGGGTATCAAAGATCCAATTACTACCAGTACCTGTTGTACCTGTTTACGTCATTGCCCCCCACATGATCGGTCTAGAGTTGGACTTGTCTTCATTACATTATGACCTAAAACAATTTAAAACTGAAATCACAAGTTAGCAAATGAGAGAAGGCACACTTCAATATCTTCATCCTGCATGGGAATCATTACAATAGCTGTTTACCAAACACGGGCATGGGTATCGTTGATCTGGACGCCCATTTCTGGCCCCCTACTGGGAATTAAAGCGTTCATATCCTGATAATATAAAGTTCAATTTCCAATTCTTCCACAATCACCACACACGAAACATCAAAAACCAAAATTCACATATACACTGCATCAAGAAATGAAAATTGGAGGAAGTACTGGGTAACCGACCCCAGAAATGGAATCAAGAAGACCCCTACGGAGAAGAATTCTGGAAATCCAGCTGTACAAGACTGAGAAAGGGAACCCCAGAAGGAGCGTGTAGTAAATGGGGTGATGGATGAATGATTCTGCAGCAGAGCCCACGGCCCGTCCCAGCCCGAGGGTGGAGGTGAGCCACTCCGAGAAGGAGCCCATATCCGGCCCGAAGAAAGCATTGATTGCATACACGAGGCAGTGATGCGGGCTGAATCGCCCGTTGGATATGATCATCAGGGCTTGACCCGCTCCAAGTGTGTACATCATGTGGGGGCCCGGACCCGGCATGGTTGTTTAGGTGAAGGTTTGGCTACTGTCTGGAGTTGTCAAAGAAGCAGACAATCAGAAACTCAGAAACTCAATTGCTTGGTTGGTTGACCAGAAGTGAAACAAAACAGGAGGAGAGAAAAAGAAGGTCAGAGTAGGAAAAAAGGGAACAGAAAGCAAAGACAAAAGCAAAATAAGTAATACAGAACATAAAACAGACTGCTCTAACAAAAAAATTTCTGAACTGAGAGCAGAGCTATAAATATTGCATAAAATTAGATAGAGAAGAATTGTTACGGTACGTATTTTAAATATTATTTTATTTACATTATAAATATATTTTTAATTATTTTTTATCTATTCAATTATTCTTTTATTTCATATATATCATATTACAAAAAAAATATTATAATAATTATTTCAAATATTCAAATAATTTCCTATCCAATCACCCCTACTATGGTTAGTGACCAAAGGTTTTGACTCCGGTTCGTTCATTCAGCCGAATAAGTTTTTGAATTAAGAATCACGAATCAACTTGAATAAGTTTTTTGAGTTAAGAATCAAGAGTCAGTTATTATTGGTCTGTGCTGTTATAAATTATAATAGGTTAATTGAGAATCAATACATTATTACCGTTATTGTATTCACTTATTTTAATTTTTTTAAGTGGGAGGTTTTGGAAAATCACCTACTTATGATTTCTTTCATCTTAATATTCAACCTAGCCCTCTTTCTATAGTTGCATTTGCTTTGTTGAGGCAAAGTGCGCTGAAAGTCGTCAAACTTTTTGAAAGTTTAATTTTGCCCAATAAATTATTTTTTGTATCAAATAGCCCACAAAACTCCTAAAATGGTTCATATAACCTATTCTGTTAACTTATGTAGGAGTATAATCGAACTATTCGAACTTGAATCAAGTTAAATATTTGAGTCATAGTTGTTAAACTTAGCCCAGTCCAACAGTTGAACTGGTCATATGACGCTCCTACTTCTCCCAAGAGTATCCGCGGAATGTCCGTTCAACTCTCGTCAGGACTCGATACAAGTCAAATTTAAACTTAAAGATACACAACCAATAATAAAAGTCAAAATGAAGAAAAGTCGCTTCCTTAATGGAACATTCAAATCTTACATCATAAGTCACCAAAAGTACATCAACTTTTCCCAAAATACAACCACTAGAAGTCGACTAATCAATTACATTCCAAGATTTTAATCAAAAGTAATTAAGTCAGCTTCTTCAAAATTCTTTCCATTCCGAACTTCTGTTAAGGAAAACAAACTAATGGGGTGAGCTAACGCTCAGTGAGACAAAAAAAATATGCAAATACATAGTTCTAGTAACAATGATATTTGTACGAGAAATAAAACAAGGAAGTTCAAAGTAACCCATAAATAACATTAACACACTTAATAAAGATACAGGAGCTCTCAGGAGCTAGATTCTACTCGTTTCGCCAAGACTCGATCAAATATCTCCACAGGATGACACTCTGTCAAAACCGGGTGGGTATTAAGTCCGTAGAACTCCACTTACTCTACAATTCCCATTCACCGTTACACCCCCTGTCCCGGCCCCGCACTTCTTTTATAAAAGGCACTACTCCACGAGTATGTCAAGCGAGATCTCTTAATAGATCAAGCTTTTGATCATTTCATGGTTCACCGAGCTTCTCGATCAAACCCATGTTGGCTTGAGTCACAAGGTCGGCCAATTGAGATTTGGGCGTCCCAGGATTTCCATTATAAGTCGATGAGATTCACTCCAATCGACAAATACAATTATAAGCCGATGAGACTCACTCCAATCGGCATATTCAACCACAATTATAAATTCAACTATGAGCAATTCAATTATATAATCAACTAAAAGAGAACGAGTGTGATAAAGTACACACTCGACTCAACAATTGTAAATCACTTAATCAATAAGAAGTAATTCACATAATTGGCAATTATTCATGCACTTGACACTCACCAATTCAAAATAAGTGAGTAAGTGCAAATAAGATCTTTAGTAGTCAGCTCCGAGATTCTCTTCAAGATCCTCTTGAGCACCTGAAAAAATAACAATTAACTATCACTCAAAAATACTTACAAACCCCTTGCCAAACAAGGAAGAATATACACTTACGTAATACTAAGACAATGTCTTAAAAGAGTTTTAATATCTCAAAAATCGAGATTCAAAAGTGAGGATTTAAACACAAGAGAAACTTGCATCCTCCATGAAAATGAGTTTAAAACGGATGATCGATATCGAAAGACAATGAAAAGTTCTCAAAAACTCATTTTCCAAGAAATCATGAATTTTCAGCTTTGTGAGATAAACTTGGTAAAATCAGATCTTGAATTTGGTACTACCAAAAATGGAAAAATTTATACCGTTGAAAGCTAGATTCAAAATGCTAGAAGTTCCTAGAAGACACTCTTCCAAGATTCTAAACAGAAAGCATTCATTTTTCAGCTCAAAGTTGCTGATTCAAGAAAGCAAGACAGAACCAGTCTTGGTTTTCGGCGATGTTTGGAAATTTGGTAAAATTCCCAGAAAATGAATCAATCTCTGAAATTTATAACACAATAAGATTCCCAAACAAATTTTCAAACACATCAAATGGAACAAAATTTGGAGTTTTGAGCAACAAGATATAACAGTTTAAAAACGGTTGATTTTCACGGCCTGATCAGTGAATTTCTAGATTTGAAGAGCAATCTCTGGGGCATCATTTGGGTATCGAAATAGAATTGAAATTATGCCAAATTTGGTACACTTAAACCTCCATATATGGGCTACCTCTCTATCAAAATTTAGATAAAAACTCGTACGGGAAGGCAGTTAACAAAATGACCAAAGTTTGTGAAATGTTTCAAAGCTAATCTACCATCCTACTTCTCTTTCTTTTTCAAACATTTTGTCCAATGAAATCAGCCCCAATTCATTCCATTTTTTGAACCAAGATTCCAGAAACATTTAATAAGTAATTGATGGTTAAATGACACTAAAATTTTTGAAATATAATATCCCAAAACAGATTTGACCATTCGGTCAGCAAGGAAGGGAAAAGTTTCCAATTTCCAGTTTTGTCGCATTTTCGAAATCAAACCATATCTAGCTCCATACAACTCCAAATTGAGAATGGTTTATGGCGTTGGAAACTAGGTTCAAAATTATACAATTTATCAGAAGACTTTGTTTTGAAAATCTTTTCACAAGTGGGACAAAATCGAGCCACAAAATGCAGCTTCCCAGTTTCATTCGAACACATAGGCAAAGCAGAATAGCTGAATTTGCCGATTCACTACGGATCACTCAAAATGAACTAGAAGGGGATTTTTATACCGTTGGAAAGCTATGAACGTCTAGTTTTGAATGCCACAAACAGCACTCAATTTTGACTTTTGTACAAAGTGTTACATTCGGACAAAGAAGCACTGTCTGAGTACCCTACTATGTGTTTTCCAGATTTGAATCTTCACCAAAACTCAAGTTTTGCACAACCATTCAATACGATTTTTGAAAGGCACTATGTACACACAATATATAACATATATCCATCAATTTCACAGCCAACCAAGCATCAAAATTTCGAAATAAAACAGAACAACATGGACAGAATTTTTGGCCAGCTTGCCTTCACAACTTTCCTTCGATTTCTCTCCACTTTCTAACCGAAATCATTTCATTCATCACATAAACAACCATAATCAAACATTAAAGCATCAAGTCAGCTACCTAAAGGCCTCATCAAGACAGCTAGCCTATGATTTAATGCGAAATAAATGGTTTCCTAAAGTCCGCTAGCCTACAACGCGGTTAGGGTTTCAAACCCGTGAAGATTAACCGCTAAACTTTGGAGAAATGGAAAGATTAAAAAGAGGAAGTGATTACCCTTGGAACCCTAGATGAATATCAGATTTTTCCACCAAAAAGTCTCCAAGAAAATCCACAAGATTGCTCCTTGCTCCTAGCTAGAGTGGTACTCCAAGTTGTGAGTGATTTGGTGGAGGATTTGTGAGTGAAATGGAAGCTAGAAGATGAAGTTTCTTCCTTCCTTTTTCTTTTCTTGTGTTGGCCGAGAATGGAGAGAGAGAAATGAGAGAGTTGTGTGTTGTGGCTTGTCTTGGAAGATTGGAGGGAAAAGTAGCTAGAAAGATTTGCCAAAAAGTCAACTTTGAATAATTATCGGAATAGGGTTTCGTACCACCAATCTCTCTCGGGTTTGATACACTCATGCACTAATCCTCCAAGATATTTCCTTTAACACTATAATTGGTCACACTTACTAGTCTAGTATTAAATTCTTAAATCTCCAACTAGTCGCGTGATGCGACCTTCAAGAAACTTTCGACGTGCGCGCGGTAAAAGATTAATTTGAACTCACTCACCTCTAATCTCTCAATTAACTTTTCTTAATCTACTATTAATCATTCTTAATTCTCTAAGATTATTGTACTCTCGGACCGAATATCGCCTCAAAAAACGTATATTCGCTATTCCTTATTAATTGGGCCGCAGAAAAATTAATTTTGCTAATGGGACATTTTAAAAATATAAGTAAAGCATTGTTCCATGTAAATGGATTTAAAATGGTTGAAATAAATTATTCAGAGTAAACGGTTGAATAAATAATTAAATAAACCAGTAAAATAAGATAAAAATAAGTAAATTTTTCGCGTCCTCACAGGTCACCCCTGTGACCCGAGCATTAGATTGAACCGGGTCTCTAGTTTGATCGAACAAGCAATTGATCGGACAAACCCAGTTGACCCAATGGTTCAACCGAAAATCCGCCCGATTTTCAATTAACCCAGTTTACTTTTTTTTCTTAATTGTGGGTCATTGTTTTTTTTATAAACAAAATGTATATATGCTTTTGATAAGATTTGTACATTGAATCTTCATTTATATATATATATATATAGATTTTACCACTTGCTTAGTTTTTATTTGATGAATATATTTTTATAAACTTGTTTATTTTTTTATTATACAATTAATCCTTTTAACTTTTAAACTGGCAATATTTGATTAGTTAGAAAATTACTTTGTTTTTAAATAAAAAATAAAATAATGAAAAATAATGCTATATTTTTTAAAACAAGCGATATAAATTTTTTTTATATTTGACTATATTATTTATTTATTTAAAAGTATGATAAAATAAAATTAAATCTTCTATTAATATCTTTATATTTATTATATATATTTCTAAGTATAATAATTA